ACTATGGACTATTTTTTTTTATCTAAGGGTAATCTGGAAAATTAATGCCTGATAAAGTTTTTTAAGTCTAAGTTATCGGCAAATGCTTTTGGATTAAAAGTTTTTTAAAAGGTTTATGTGTATAGTCTATAAGGACTTATTATACAAACTTTGGCGTGGCAATCGACTAGTAAACTTTTTGATTTCCTCGAAAATTGTGCAAACAATCGAAAAGTCCGATGCTCACGATAGGCATCCGCACAAGAATGAGAACGATCGAGAAATATGAGTAATATTACGTTTACAATGGCAGAATGAATCGAAAAGTTAGAAAACACTGCTATAGCGTAAGATAAATATCAACTGACCCTCGATATTAGAATATTTACACATAAACGCGGGATTTCATCTTGTCGAAATCTGTAGTCCACATTTTCGTTACATCTCGTGTCTAGCCTGTTGTTTGGAAGTAACGTTAGCGAGAAACTTGGACCGCAGAAAGCCGATAACGTTTGGTCCTGTCTTGGCTTGGTTGCGGGTAACGCAGGCCCAAGGGCACTTGAGCGCGCTCACAAACGTATAGGCAGACTCACGTGCGATTCCGAGTACTCGTATCCGACAAAACCGAGACAGAGAGGGATCCAACATTCGGACTTGCTGTTCAGCGGAAACTATAGTGAATTAGACTCGAAACAACGCGAACGATGCGATGCGAGTCGCTTGGCAATCGATGGAGCGTAGGCTATATGTTCCCTGGGAATGGCTTGCATGTACCGTATATTAAGCGTGTCTGTGAGCGGGTACTCGTATGAATGCTCGTGCTTGCTCGAAAATAGAGACTTTAGGGAGTCGTCAGTTTTCGTTTGCTCTTTTTTTTCTGCCCATACAGCCCGACTCCCAGCGCGGAAAACACAGTTCGCGCGAGCGCGTACATGAGTTTTACTGCTCTCGAGTCATTGTTTTTCATGGTTAAATGGTCCAAGTTTTGAGATTTATTTCAAACATCAGCTTCATTGAAATGTTTTCGCGCTTTTTTGTCCAGTGCGAGCGCGCGTGTGTACAAAACTGATGGAAACCTTGCATATTGAGTGCAAATATTTCTGAGCAAACTTGGCCACAAAGTTTATTCAGCATGCCATAAGCAATTGTCAGCGTAAGATTTACTTGTTCTTATTAGATATGTTCGTATGTATGGAAAAATTAATTTCGAAAATAGACAGTGGCATTCTGCATCTTACATTTTGTAAAACAAAAAATACCTTACACTGTTGAGACTTAACAACGCAGCATCAGATGCAGCAACAGAGCAATGTTAGGCGCGACACAGCATATACATTTTCTGACGCAGCAGAGTTGTAACGCACAACCGCAATGCTTTTCACTTATGCACACCTCGCGCCTGCCACAAAGTATGTTTAATTAATAACTACGGCATTTCCCTGGCGCTCTTTTTCTTTCTCTCGCAGGATTTTCAGTTGCGTGAACAAATTTTCCCAACGAGTCTCGCTGCTACCGTTAACTAACAAGACAAAAAAGAATAAACGCGTGAAAATGTAGAAATATAAACTAGCTCGAGCTACCCGTTGGTAATATACATGTAAATAAGGATTAGCTTATCTTGAAAGTGTAGCTTCAAGATGCCACACTTTTCTGAAACGACGCCGCATTAATTATATTAAAACACGCGAGTCTTGCACTGAAGCACGCAGTGGTTGTATATTTTCACTTGCTTTTGTTTATTTTCGAGTATTTAGCAAAAAGTATCATAAACAGAACCCAAATATTTATTTTACAATAACGAAAATGTCACTGCCAAAACCTAAAATATTAATAGCACGAAGATAAATAAACATAATTATAATAAGCTCTAATTGGTCGAGAAAAATTGCTAAGATCGCAGCTCAATTTTTTTAAGGAAAAACCTTCCGACTCATTGCTCATTGTTGAATCATGGTGTTTATAAAGTTACTGTTACATATATCCTAATCTCAAGTCGAGAAGAGCTCGTAGAACTGTGAGATGTCACGCTATGCCATTTAGCAATGCTAAGCACGAGCAACGGCTAGTTGTCAAGCAAATTCGTATTACTTCCGGCATTATTCCTCTCTCTTTTCCTCTCTTTCTCTCGCTTTCTCAGAAGCGCGTTTGTCGGGGATTATAATTCTCTTGTTTGCTTTCGCGCTTGCCTTTCAAAATGCTTCTAGCAATCTATCTATCGATCCGTGACAAGTCCCACCCAGGGTTGGCACGAGGCTCTTCTGGCATCAAAGAGTATCTCGAGTGTCGCGTGCCCGGTATGAAAAAAATTTAAGAGAATGTACTTATAGCTGTGAGAAAACTGAGAAGAGCCGACTTTTAGAAAATTTTCAGTTGACAAAACTTTTGCCAATGAATAACACGAGTAATGAGAGAAAAAGGAATTGATACGCTGAAAAAAGAGCTTTTACTTTAATTTAATTCTATTTCAACAATTTGTCTTTCATCAATTGACTTTTCTCATATTTTTGACTAGATACATCAACTGTTGGAAATTCACATATTATTTTCTTTTTTCGTTGAAATGTATAGGGTAAAAAAATTTCAGTGTCAAATATTTATGAAAAACGCTTTCATCGGCCCGAGATAACCGAGAAGGTGGCGCAAAACAAGAAAACAAATAAAGAGGGAGCGTGCAAAACAAGAAGGAAAACCGCGTCGTTGCGCAGCGCAATGGCATAGAGTAAATTCGAAAGTTACGCATATGCTTTGGTATCGTGTGTATGTAAATATGTATGCGATACCAAATAAGAATCTCGCTCGAAATTATGGTCACGAGGTTACCACGGGCTGTTGTTATTGCTGTACGCGTAAATCATAATAGCGCATTGAAGATTTCATTAGCGTATAAAATTGTCGAATTCACGACTCTTCACCCTGGGAAATTTTAATATTAAACAGTTTGGATTTCTCATTGCGCTATCGGTATTCAAAATAGCAAGTGTGTTTGTGTCTTTATAAAGACTGATAAATTTGAATATTTTCTTCAATTTCTACCAGTTGTTTACATAAGAGCATCGTTTATGTATATACACGTATAAACTTAAAAAGCTTCACTATACTCACTAAATCAACTCGATTATTTTTCTGTGCACTGCGGTGTGCATTCACGTTATGCATTTTTCTCGCTTCTTTGTTCAAAGTTATTTCCATTTCCAGCTCAACTTTTTCCCACTTTACATCTAAAAATCGAGTTTTCCTCTAGTTGAAAAAAAACTTATACTTGTGACATAAAAGAAACTTAAAATTTACGCGGATTCTTTTTTCTTTCTGAAAATCAGATTCGAATAAGTTAGCTTGTCCCAACTTGGAGGTCCGATGAAAGACAGTCCTATGAGCCGAGTATCAAAAATGCATGCACCCGCAAAAATACAGAAAAACAGGTTAATAACAAAAGTCCCTATGGGAAATGTATTTGTCTCATATCAAACAAAATTATTATATTTTTACCTCCAACTGAATAGTATAAAGAAATTCATCGCTCGAGAAATTACATATTTCATGCAGTATATTTTATTCGTCTTGATTTACTCGTCAAGTGTTAAATATTTAAATACAATATATACTGAGTCACCAAAACGGAGCTTCGCAATTAAGCCGAGCTTTAGGATAATCGAGCTGTCAGCTATACACATGAAACAGCAAAAGTTTAAACGACGAGAAATAAATAAATTAAAAGTATAATAAGAAAGTTGGAGTGAGAGCCGTGCGATGGAAAAGTAATATTTGCTGTCATAGCAGCTCCATCGGCTGCGCGCGCGCGCGTTACTCTCAATCGCAGAAATAGCTGAGCCGCGCGCGGCCGAACAAAAGGAAGAGAAGAAAATCAAGGAACGCGCACTCGTGCTATACACTACTGCACTGCATTTGCAGGAGGCAAAATCAATTACCAAGCTGACTTGAGCCAGAGATAGTGGAAAATGATATCGGCATCCGAAGGATGAGGCGGTGCGCTATACATATACCCGCTCGCACGCGCGCGCGCGCGCACACACACACACACACACCCACACACACATATATCACACGAGCGCAGCTTCTTCTCTTTACTGTACTTGGCCTGGACGCCATTAACACCGTTACTCGACAGAATCAGAAGAAAGGAGGGGGGCTTTAGAAGCGGAGAATCATATAGCTAGGTCGTTCGATTGAGAACTCGAGCAAGCTTGCGCGCTCGATTAACAGTAGCGGCGGCGGCGTAACCCGATTAATGAAGAAAGCGCGCGCATCCCGCCAGACTATACCCGCGCAACTCTTTGTAGAGATATTATTTGGCCGTTTAATGGCTCCTGAATGAATGCCAAGCTTTCAACGCGTGAGCTCGCCTGCACGGCGATGGAAATAATTCCAGACTTTTTATCATTTTTTATCATCCCCTCCTTAAACTTTTTCTTTTTTTATCCAAGTATTTTTTATTCCAGTCTTCGTGATGGACTTTGGTGCAAAGGTCAAAGTTATTTTTCAAACTGAGATAATGGCTCTTCCACTTTACGGGGATATAATATCGAGAAATCAGCAATTTTAGCACAAAAATCGCAAGTTTGCTTGCCAACTCTAAGCTGGTATTGATCAAATTTATTAAATAGCTTTTACCTATATACATATTTTCCGAACAAAAAATCAATTTTATCGTACTGCGATGATACTAAAATCAAACTGTCATCACGAAGTTACCCGATACTTGGAAAAGTACATCTGCGATCATAATACCTTATCAATATATGTATACATCATGGACCTTACTGTTACATTAACCAAGCCAATAACAATTTTTTATTACCTCAAGAAGCCCCGTTGCATGGACTGATGGGATAAACATTCCATGAATTTAAATGCAGGGAGATATTTTTTTGCTTTTCATGTAGCTTTTACTATCGAGATGAACTTATCATCATATACGATTACACAAGTCGTCACACATTACGACAGTTATGACAGTAAATTACGATTATGTTTATATAAACGCACACTAACTACGTACTGACCGTTTAAAACGTGAACGGATACTGTGGTAGCGGCAACTTCCGCGAGGGCACAGCTGTAGTTGCCACTGTCCTTTTTATTGGCATTGGCGATGTAAAGACGCGAAACCGCACCTTCGGCGCCCATGTCAGTTTTCACGCTGCAACATTGAAGAAAAAATTACACATCAATATAACATTTTTAACTGAATTCCTTGTGATGGTCATGAAATAATATATTTATTATATAATCGAATACATTTGAGATTCTCTTGACTGAATATTTGATGATGATCTAATACATCTTTGCAAAATTGTTGCATCAATTCGTAAAATTTTTGTTGAAAATAATTTTATATTTCAAAGTACATTTTCATATTCTCTATCATATATATTATGCCCACATTTTTACTGAAATTGTGAGCCTTCGACGGAATCATATACACGTACACAATCTCATAGGATACGTAGATCCAGTAGATATATATCAAGCCCAAAGTTTCAATAATATATTTCTAAATTTGCATATACATTTGGCACATGTTCAACACTAGTGGCTCGTTATACATGTACGCATGCAGCCGCTGTATCCCAGAGATGTGCTTTTCATGCGGACACATGTATGTACACACAGATCATTCGTGACAAAGCCTCGCATGAGAGCATATAATATACCTCCTAGTCGGACACGTAAGCACACATAAACTGAGCAAGGATTTAATGTTGAAAGAGACGATGAAAATGAAAAAGTCACGGTATAAATTTGTAGTTATAAGAGTTTAAATCATGTTGACGTCGTTTGACACTCATATTTATGTCAGATACAATCAACTAAAAATAAATATCGCTAACTTCAGTCTACAGATCTTATGTGGGTACGCCATCGTTTTATAAATCATTTGTGTTTGTTCCCGATTTTTTCCATCTTAATTTATTTTTACTCTACCTCTACCTCAACTAGACCAAAATTTTAAATAAATTTTCATTCGACGTGTACCTAATTATTGGTAAAACATCGATTCCATCCCAAAGTGTGCAGTTTCATTGTTTGTGGAGAAAAATTAGTTTCTACAAATTTCTACCATTTTTGCGCTTTTCAAGCAACATTGATGTTATCAAAAAAAAATTATAAAAAAAAACGTTACTAAAAATGTTGGTCTTCTACCTATGACCGAGATATATTTGTCTATGTCTACTTATAAACTTACAACCCATACATTTTGGATATGAATATTTTTTTCGACTGTAATTGGTGCTTTCGCATATTTTATTTTCTCTGCAGTTCAAACACAGCAATTTTTTTAAATGTTGACCTACTTTTTATCTGCTAAAAATGAACAAAGACAAAGTTTTCGGCCTCTAATGCTTTCAACAAATCACTTAATTTTTTAAATTTATTATACGATTATTGCGTATAATTTTAAAATGGAACATAATTTTGTCTAATCTTCCATGATAGTTGAAAGTTAGTATAAAGAGAACTTTTTCTAGATTCTCAACTCATGAGCTATTTCCGTAATTTTAAATACAAATATTTGCGAAAGCATCTTCGTTTCAGACGCTAAAATACTTGAAGAACCGAAAAAAGTAACTTCAAGTTAAACAGGATGACGACCGAGTGACTTTTTGCTTTCTGCTGTACGTTAGAATTGCCGACTTTTCACCGAAAAAAACATCTCTCAGACGATATAATAAATCAGTTCCACTAGACATTTACTTCCTCTCGCGCTTTTACTATCGTGTAGTATATCAGCGACTGATTTTTGTTATAAAAATAAAAGAAGCGTAAACTGCCTGGCCATTCGAGCTTTGATCAAAACCACCAGTCAGTACTATTACCTTACCCGCGTGCAGGTGAAAACAATAAAGGTAATTTTGTGCAGATTTTCGTTCTTTTCTAATGTTCATGTTTGACTTTGCTTGCTGCATTTTAATGAACTGTTTTTTTTTCAAGTAGTCTAAAATAAATTGCTTTCATTTGTGATGTAACTGGTGCGTCTTGGGTTTGAGCCCTCCTGACGAACCATCGCCGAGACCCCGAGTATAATTAATTATAAGAATATTTAATAACCTTTGGGGAAAGTGATATGTTAACATGCTTATGTCGGTATATGAGCGACGTATATTGTAAGTGTGAGAATCAATCGAAAGACTTTTATAAAGGCTGGCAAAAGGAACAGAAGTCGAGTGACAGAGTTAAGCGCGACATCTCTCGTGGATGTTTAGGATGTGATAGGAGTACCACGTGGTTTGTGAGGAGTGAGAGTATTCAATTTCAACATTTTTTCACGTGACGTCGTATCAAGTCATCAATTATTTGAAATAAGTAATAAGTCTAAACTAATTATATGATAGTACGATAGAGTGATTTATTTTTTATTCCGATCTTTCAAGATGATTAAAACAGTTTCGCCTAGCTAACGAGGAATCAATTTGTTTACTCGCACTATATCGCCTCATGAATAACACGAAACTCGTCAAATGCTTTGAGCCTTTTTTTTTTTTTTTTTTTAATTCTACTTGAGCCAACGACAGTCATCGTCCATCCGTACCCGACAATAGTTACATGATTTATGATGTCCGCTAATTTTTGCAAACTCTCGNTTCCCCCCCCCCCCCCCCTTACACACATGCACACACACCACATTGTACAACAAAGTATATGAGAAAGGCTCACGGAAAGTGCTGTATCTTAATAAGAAACAAAGATTTTTGAATTTTTAAAAATGCTATCAAGGGGGAGAATTTTTCAATTTTGAGCTCTTAAGCGTTTCTGATGCGTTTGGCTGACAGAAATCCAATTCAGAGAACCAAAATTGATTTTTTGTAATGATTAATTACTTAAATCATTTTATCGTGCTTGTGCACCATGATTTCAACAAATTAAATAAAATATAATTCAAATTTACCAAAAAACAAGACACGATTGCAGCTTGATTGAATCTTAAGCAAATTTTTTTGCAACTAAAGTAAACGTCGTAACAAACGTGCGCTTATACCACTTAATTTTTTGCTTGGACATCAAACAGCGAGCTGTGATAATGAAAAAGAAAAAATCCTAATGAGACATAACAAAGAGCAAACTGTGGTGAAAGTTACCTTTTATAGTTTTCTCTTTAAAGGCCACGTGCAGGCGCTCACACGCGGAACATTAGAGAAAGTCGTTGACAAGATGCGATTATTAAGTCTCATGACTTTTATTAAAAAGCCCCTGAGTCATAAAGTTAAGTACTTTCGGGTGAAATTGAGCTGTGAAAATAGCAGTGCCATAAGCGCAAGATTAATTATCCTAAGTTTGGCACAATTGTCAAATGTGTAATTGTGCAAATGTAGCCATGGTGTATTGGAGCTTTTCACCTGACTTGTCTCTCAAAAGACTTGCGATTATTTGTTTCACAACTTCTTCCTCTATGTAAACTTTTCTAATGATAAAACTTGCGGGACATGCTAATACCGCAGCTGAGCGTAATGCCTGCGATTTCTTAACGCCAACAGACTTGGATCGTGAAAAATGAGAAAGAAATGAGAGTGAAAAAAGTTTTTTTTGTCAAATATATCTATAAAGGAAGTTAGTACACAATGGGAATGCAGCTTGCTCTGCGGAGTTTCAGCAATAAAAACTTAAGCTCGATTTGTCGCTACAGCTTGTTGCATCGCCGCTGACCTAGGGATTAGATATCTTCTGGCGGTAAAGCTTTTAGGATCCAGACTCTGCAGTGTCTTATGCGACATGTGCGTAGACTCCAAGGCGAAAGGTGCCTTGAATCATGTCTAGTGCATCTAAATTGAACTTATGAATCCACTAAAGTTATGGAAATAATGAACCACTCTGAGCAAGTGTACGAATGCAGCAAGCTATTACAATGACTACTGTGACAATTATTACTGCGGGTAATTTTTAATGAACAGCTCATATGCCACATGACTAGATCATTTTGAAAAACATACACATTTTTTTTTCATTTCATAATATTACTAGCAAAAGTTATTAGAGAAAAAAGTCTAGGAAAGTAAAATAAATTTTTATAACAAATTTTCATGGCTAGAATGCCATGATATTTAATAGATTCACTCATAAATTATGGATAAAATAATTGTTAAGAATCAGTTGAATCAAGCACGAACATGTTGCTTCGAATGAAATGAAACAAATTGATCATTTTACGCATATTCGCAGAATTTTTTGTTCAAAGTATAAAAAATAATTAATTAAAGTATCAAAAAATAAAAATAAAAAATGAACAAATGTTAATTGTTCTTTATCATCATATTTTAAAATACATCATCGAGGGTTCTCTAAGTCGCGAGGTGAAAAATGTTGGGCGCTTCGCAAAATATTGGACTAATCGATTGAGCTCAAACTACATTTTATGCATTATAAATGTGTGTCGGTTGCACGTGTAGAAATCATCGCACACCTACGTACGTGCGTTACGTTGAATGGCACAGCAGAACGAGATACACGAGAGAAACGCATAGGCAGTAGTCGGAGTCGCACGGAATGGGGTAAGAGGGGAGTCCAGAGTTTGTTTGCTTGTGCGAATCTTGCCTGAGTATACACATTAGTATGCATGAGTGTTTCTAATGCCTCATGCGTAGACCTGTTTAAAGGAATGTCAAGGCAAATGTGTGTGCGTGCCGCGTGCGTGTGGGCTCGCCGGAATAGACAAGGTGTAAACTTGGTATTCCTGGGTGACAGACGCATTATTTACATGCTGCTCCGAAACATACATACACATTCGTTTATATAGAGTACGTGGCACGGTATATTGAGGTGCATCTTGCGGGCTACCTCAATCTACGTACGTGCGCGTGCAAACCAAAAGGCCAATGGATACGCTCGACTATTAGACCATACGCTCGCTGATACACAGGCTCTAAATTCACCGTGAACTTGTTCGCGTAATGCGTAAGTGTGTGTTATTAATAACGCGGGCACGCCCACAGCTCCTCGTGCTACCTGTCCATCTGTACTTGTATTACTCAGGGCTCCAGGATTTTGTAACAAGACCTCTACTGGCGTTCCAAGCTGCGCCCTTTATAAAGCGTACAATACGCACACTTTAACGCTACTAGATCGTAGTATATAATAAGCAGTCGTGATGCGCGATCATACTTTATTAGAGTATTTTGCCCGACTTGTGATATTATTTTCACGAGG